ACATTTTTTAAATAAAAATTATTTTTAGGGGTTGCTATGAATTTTCGAACATTAAATCCTAATATTAACAAAAAAAAATTTTTTAAAAGTAGTACTTTTTATGTTGGGTCTCAAATGAAGCAAAATTATATAATATTTTCAAAAATAAGAATCATTTTACTAAGCATTTGCTTTTCAAAACGGCACAAGACAAAACAAGACGAAACGATAAAAAATATTATTTAGATAAAACCGGTATGCGACAAAACAATGTTTATACAATTTCGTAAAAAATGGAACAAAACGAAACAAAATTTTCTTGTTTCATGAAAAATACAGTACAAATCAAAACAATAATTTTGTGTTTTGTAAAAACCAATACGAAACGAAATAACGTTAAACTAAATAAAGTACTAAATAACCGGTACAAAATTTTTAATTGAACTTTCATTTACAAAACATTAAGTTAGTAAGTATTAAATGCGCATTTATTCTGCTTGAATGTTACAGTTCATGTATTGCTCAGGGGTGTGGGAATCGTAAAATATCTGTTTGGGGCAGGCGAGTTATGAAATGTACTGTAAAAACCGATATAAAATGAAACAAAATTTTCTTGTTTCGTAAAAATACAATACAAAACAATATGTTATTTTGTTGTTTCATAATAACAGTACGAAATGAAAATTATTGTTTTTTATTGTGTCAAACCGAACTTCTGTGAGGATACGAGAAGATGTAGATGCTTACATTTTACAAATAAATTATTATTATTAAACATCTTTACTTCCAACAAGGCTGCAAGCAACTACTATTAGAGTTGGAAGTTGCTAGAAGTGAAAAAATGAAGTTTCTAAAGCAAGATAATGATTTATAGACTACTTAAAAGATTGTGAATCAGGAAAACAAGATGAAAGGAGTGAATTCCAAAGAACTGATGTTCGAGGAAAAAAACCACACAAGTATAAATTTTTGAAACACATAGGAACAGTAACAATAAAAGGATGAGACTTAATTAAATGATGAGTAACACAAGAATTAATTTTAGTAGATGGCATAAGCTCTTAAGAGCAGTGCCCATTATAGTATTTATAGAAAAGAAAAAGAGAAGCAACATTACGACGATGTGACAATGGTTGAAGGTTGGCTGCAAGAGCAGGTCCAACCATGTTTACAATACATTTTTGCATCTTTTCTAAAAGAGGAAGGGCATCATGGGAAGATCCACTCCAGATATGGCAACAGTTCATATACAAGAACGGATTTGAGATTTAAAGGGATACAGAATAGAATCCTAAGTAGAAAAGTGGCAAGATAAAGATGATAAAAGATGCAGCTTTTAGCAGATGCTAAATTTGCAATGGATTTGATATATGGTTTCCAAAAACAATCAGAAGTAGGAATTAATCCCTAAAAAAAGAAGATGAAGGGTAGATGACTTATTGAGTAAATTACCATTTATAAATATAGGAAGATTGTTGCAATTTTTTTTTTTTGCAATTTTTTGTAAATTTTTTTTATAGATTTTATAGGTTTTAGAGTTAAATCTGAGTTAAAGTTTACCAGCCACTGAGAGTTGTAGCAGAAGTGAGATCCTTTTCAAGCTCAAATACCCCTCCAAGCAATCAGAGGGTGTTGGCTTCATATCAAGATAGAAATAAATGGTAGTATCAGCGAACTATGCCACCTTAAATGTGAGAATTTGTTGAAAATTGTTAATGTAAATTAAAAATAGGGTATAGGACCAAGAATAGAACCTAGAGGAACCACTGGCGTTAAAGGATATGAAGAAGACTGCTGTCTATTGAGGACAACCTCTATACTACAATTGGTAAGGAAGGATTTAATAATACTTAAAGATGTTACCTGATGCACCTTAAATGAAAGCTTATGAAGAAGACCAGCACGCCAAACTTTATCAAATGCTTTAGAAATTTTGAGAGCGATAGCCTTAACCTCTCCACATCTAATGCACAACAAGACATATCAGTTGTTACATCAAGCAAATCAGCAGTAGAACGAGAAGATCAAAATCCATATTAATAATCAGATAATAAGTTTTTACACTTAAAATGAGAGATTAAGTGTTTGTTAATTAAAGACTCAAAAAACCTTGCTTATGATAGGAAGAATGCTAATGGGACAGTAGTTAGACAAGTTGCTCTCGATTGCTCTCTCAATCCCACAGATCGCTCTCCAGAATTTTTGAAAACAGCTATAACAGATGCTGCTTTTAAGCAGGCTGGAAAACAAGACTCTGATAAACACTTGTTAGCTAGTTTAAAAGTATAGATGACAGCTCAGAAGAATACTTCTGCAAGACTATAACAGGTATGTTGTCCGGACCACAAGCTGTAGAAAAGTCTAAGCAAGAAATCACTTTAGTTTCTTAACCCTAAGTTATATAAATGTCAAGCAGTGGATCAACATGTTTGTTGGCTATATCAGGTAGGATGTGATTAGTGGAATCCAGAGATGAGAATGATGAAAACAGTTTTGCTTTAAGTAAGGTAACAAAATCTGAACCATGATAGAGAGAAGGTTTAACAGATTTGCCCTTTTTATAGACTGATAAAGAATCTCCAGAAGTCTCTGAAGCCTAATTTTTGATATAAAAAAAAGGTTTTATGACCTGAGAATTTGTATATATATATATATATATATATATATATATATATATATATATATATATATATATATATATATATATATATATATATATATATATACATGCACCTTGTACAGAAAGTTTAAAGGCATTTCTTTTTTTTTAATTTTTATAAAGACACAAATTTAAAATAAAAAAACAAAATCTTTTCTGAGATAAAATAATAAACATAAGTGAAAGTAAATAAAAAGAAAATACAATAAAAATTTAAACTCAACTACTAATTTTATAAAGTTGAAGTATATTAATACAAGATATGAACCCTGTTGGTTTTATAACATTCTTGGTATTGATACAATAATTTTTTTTAATAATCTTTATTAGTATTTTAAGCAATTATATTTGTAATGTTTTGTAAGTTCTCAATCAGATTTAAGTCAGGTGATCATTCTGGCCTAGGCATAGGTGGAATATTACTTTCAAAGAAATAATTATAAAATCAATTATAAAGTTGATCATTTTATGTTGTTCCACTGAATAACTTAAACGCTCTTTGCACCAATTTTTATATTTTTAGTGATCGTACGATTAGCTGTTTTATCAGCTAATCGTACTATTAATTTCTGCACTTAAAGTTGATATTCCTGCTTTTGGGTTTTTGGGTTTTTATTTACTTTTGGGTTTTTTCATCTTGTGCTGACAGTTTTTTAATTGTTCCACGATACAAGGTTTATTGTTGACGCTACTAGTTGATAAGTAATTTTTTGTTGTACAAACGCTGAATTCAGAAATATTTAAGTGTCTGCCAAAATTCTATTGCTGAGTTTTATCTTATGCATGTCAATGACTTGCCATTTGGTTTTAATTAGACCAAATCAAACTTTATTTTAACTTTTTCATCACCCTCCACCACCTTTATTATAAACTTACAACTTTTTTCTTCTCTAAATTATTAAATTATATTCATAGTAAAAATAAACATAAAAACTCTTTTTTTGTGTTATTCTTGATCATTTTTCTTTAGGTTGAACTTTTTTTTTTTTTTTTTTTTTGCATTATTCTTTTTCTTTAGGTTGAACACTCCTTTTTATTTTTATTTTTCTTTATTATTTTTCTTTAGATTGAACTCTCTTTTTGTTTTTTGCATTATTCTTTATTGTTTTTCTTTAGGTTGAACACTCCTTTTTTTGCACTATTCTTTATTGTTTTTCTTTAGGTTGGACACTTCTTTTTTTTTCTTTTTTTTTTTGTGCTATTCTTTATAATTTTTCTTTAGGTTGAACACTCTTTTAGATAATCTAGTTATAAAACAAAAGGATAAAGATTATAAAGAAAGTTTTCCATGGTGTATGGTTTTAGAAGAATGTATAATTCACAGATTAAGCACCATATATTCCACAAATGATTTTTTGATGAATGGATATTTTTATGAAGATATGATTTGGAACTGTGGGAAACAAAATGCTCTAGAGTCCCACAAAAGACAAAATCAGTAATTTTTTTTTTTTTTTTTTTTTTTATGTAATTTTAATTATTTGGAAATTAAAATTTTTTATTTTACAACTTTTTTTTTTTAATATTTTTATTTAATGCTTAAATGATTTCTTACACACACATGTACAATTTAGCAATAATTTTATATATATATATATATATATTAAATATGTATAAATATATGTACATATATATATATATATTTATATATATATATATATATATATATATATATATATATATATATATATATATATATATATATATATATATATATATATATATATATATATATATATATATATATATATGTATATATATAAACACAAAACATTTTTATATATCAAATGTTAATTACATAGAAAAATTCGATCAATTGAAGCTGAACAATTCAAAAGAGAAAAATCTATCAGAAACCTTATAAAAGATATTGAGTCAACATTGAAGCCCATTCAAAGTAATTAGATTAAACTTTCATTCATTTTACAATTTATAATTAAAATAAAGTTATTTTATTATTTTAAAATTAAAAAAAAGGTATTTTCATTGTATATAATTTTTAACATAAATGAAAAAATTTAAAACAAAACAGTTTAAGCAAAAACACTTTTCATTTTTAAAAAGTTTAAAAGTTTTTATATATTATACATACAAAATCTTTAAATATATAATCTACAAACTCAACTTACCTACTTTCAGTAGTTTGACGTTTACACTTACAGTTGTTTGTACATAATGTTATATGAGTGTATCTTTACATATGAATATTACATATTTATTTATTTGCAGAATACATATGAATCAATAATAAAATTTTAATTGTAATTTATTTAAATGCAATTATTATACTTGCATATTTTTTTTTCTTGAGAAAATATTGTGGTTTTCAAATATTTCTTTTATAAATTTTTGTGCAATATAATTGTTATTAATTATTGTACCCGCTTAAAATTTGTTGAATGACATCCGTATAAAAAGTTTATAAATTAATTTATTTGCTATCTTAACATATCCTCAATAGCTCAGATGCTTAATGTGCTGTCCTCAGTGCCAGTATCATAACATTTTCATAGATTAAAATCCACCTTTAAATAAGTTTATAAATTAATTTACTTAACATATTCTCAGTAGCTAAGTTGTTTAATGTGCTGTCCTCAGCTAAACAAAAAATATTTTTTAGTTCTGTCTGCTTATTATCGCTTTTTTTAATACAAAATAAAACAGTTTATGAAAAAAAGACTTTATATAATTAGAATATTTTTAAAAGTTATGTTATATATATTCAGGGTTAATAGATATAAACTGAATGGCTTAAACCATGGTTTAAACCAATTGAAAAAATATCAATTTAAACCAAATTAATATTTTTAAAAAACTTTAAATTTTCATCGACAAAGTGAACCAGGGTTGTGTTTACAAATTTTATCTTTCATGCAAATACCTAATGTGAATGCACTTATTTAAAATCATAAAGAAGCTTCTCAAAGTTAATTTCTATTATATTTTAGATTTACAGTAGTTATTTGTTTGGCATTGCCTGTTTGGTTTTTAAATACAGCAACAGGTCAATGTAATATTTGTCCATTCCTAAAATAATATTTTCAATATAACTAATATTTTATAAATATAATCAATATTTTCAATATAAATAATATTTTCAATATAACTAAAAGTTAAAACAATTAAAATAATGCTGAAGAACATTAAGTTTTATCGTTTTTTTAAAAACCACAATATAATGACTTGAAAGTTTTTTTAATTAATTTTTATTTTGTTTTTTTATTGTTCAATGATATTTTTAAAACATATTAAGAGTGATGCTACATTGACTGACAAATAGGTAAAACATGCTCAAAGTGTTGCTACATCAACAATCTTATAGCCTGCTGCTACAAAGAAGTGCTGCTACATTGACTGAGGGTTTGGTTTGGGAAAGCAATTTATCATTAAAGAAAAAAACTTTATTCAAGTTTTTAAATTTTTTTAAAAATTTGAGTTAATCAGTGTTCTACTTATCCTGAACTGTATATATATTGTTTTGAAATAATAAAAGTTATATAAGTTGTTAATTTAATGTCATCATTTACATTTAACATAAGATTAAAGCTAAAAATAAAGAGATCAAATAAATTTTTAAATTAAAAAGTTATAAATATTTTTACCTTTTATAAGACACTTTACGAAAACGTAAATCAATGGAGTTTATTTCTAACACCATGATCCAACCAACTTCGTTAGATGTTTTGAATGACTCCTCGACTCTTTTAAAAGATGTTTTTGATCAAAAGAATGAGTATACAAGGTAGAGTTTTTTAATTTTTTTAAATTTTTATTATAATGTATATAATTTAAAGTTGAACTAAAAAAAGTATTGTTTTGTTTATAAAAAATGTTTTTATATATATTTTTAATAAAATAATAACCAAACTAGATCAATTAAAATGTGAGTTTCAATGGTTTTTCTTTTTTGTTAATTATATTATGGGGTCAGGGTAACAACATCAGTTTTTACTATGCCTAATAACATCTGTCTAACAACATCTGAAAATATACTGAGGTATAATAACATATGTCCAACAACATCTGTAATTTTATTGATGTCTAATAACATCTGTGTAAAAAGTATATGATTACAGATGTAGTTACATCTTTTAATTTATCCAAGTATAACAACATCTGTGCAATTGCATTTGGAATTTTTACAGATGTAGTTACATCTTTTTAATTATCTAAGTATAACAGCATCTGTGCAATTACATCTGTGAATTCTACATATGTAGTTACATCTTTTCAATTATATTAAATATAACTACAGGATTTTATGAAATGAATAAATAATAATGCATTATTTTAACCAGATGTAATTTCATATATGGTTTTTTTCAAATCTACAGACTCTGTTGAACAGATAACCTTTTACCATATGTTAAATTTTAAATGATTTTTTTAAAAAAACCTTGGGTCAAATCAAGATAAATAACAAAAAATGTTTTTAAATTTTGTATGCGGTGTTAAATTTGGTATTACATTTTATATGCTGTAATATGCAAATTATTATTGGTTTTATACTATACTAGCAGTAAGAAACCCGTAATACGGGTTGTTAGTAAATAAAATTAAAAAAAAAACTGCGTATAGAAAAGCCTAGAAACTACTTTAAAATAGAAAAGCCTAGAAAATGACGTAACTCGACTAATAATATTAATGACGTAACTCGACTAATATTAAATTAGCGTATTCATATTATCAGATGGTTATATATATGAAATATATTATGGCATATATATGGTATTATATATATTATGGCATATATATGGTATTATATTATAATTTGCGGTAATATGCAAATTGCGATAGAGGTAAAGCGCTTGCTTCACAGGTGAGAGGTTCCAAATTTTGATCCCCACCATGTCCCTGGTATTATCGAGCTCAACTTGTTTCTCGGCGCAGTGGTCTTGTTCGTCAAGGTTCATTTCTCACAGTTATAGAGTTGAGAGAGGGTTATAACCACAATTAAGTGGCCTTCTCAGCTTTGAGGAGATAAATTAACATTAAAAATGTATATATTATTTGGATTATTAGTTGTAATATATTATATTTTTAGTAGTTTTGCATGCATTTTGAATAAGTACTCCAATGTGACTTGGATGTTTAATTAAATTAACAAAAAAAAATTTAATCTAAGAAATGTTTTATTGTTTATTAATTATAATAATTTAATAATATTTATATAACTCAGTAATATATTCAGTTATATACAGTCATAAACAGCTTAATCATAAACATAAGTTATGTATGTGACAAAAAAAAGTTTTTCTTTATACATCTTAGGTATACCAAAAATTTTTGAAAGTATATTTCAAGTAACACTAATTTAATTAATTAATAATTGAAAGCAAATATTTTTAGAATTATTACAATTTTTTTGAAAATAAAATAAAATTAAGGACCTGTGAAATGTGAGAGTTGGTAGCAATCATGAAATCAATACTAATCATACCAAATATTTGGTGAAAAACTATTAAAAAGGGACCATGATTATATTTTCTTATTAAAAGTTAGTTGAATGAAAAATGGATTTCTACTAACTTTTTAATATCTATCTAAAAATATAAATCATATGTTTATTAACAGGAGCATGGGTTTAAAGATGTTTATTTTGTGATAAATTTCTATTAAAAAGTTTTTTTTTTTTTTTCTGTGGGAATTTTTCATACAAATAAAAAATAAATATAGTAAAAAAGCTGAAACAGTAAAATAAATCAATATATATATATATATATATATATATATATATATATATATATATATATATATATATATATATATATATAAAGAAAATACAACATTTTATGGTGCTAATAGTTTTATGTCTAAAGGCAATCATCGGCTATGTAATACAATATCAAGAAATGGGAAAAAAAAACGTTAAAATGTAAAGTTACAAAGAAGTGTGTTATGTGGTCATAACAACAAACAACAGAAAGAAAAAAGAAAAAACTATAAACGGCTGCCTAATCACCAGAATCGAACTTTGAAAGAAGAAATTTGCTTTTATGTCTACATTTAGAAACTAATTCATTCCACTTATTTAATTAGTTATCATTGGTGTAAGATATTACTTTTCAAATAAACAAAGGTTGCAACGTTTTACTGTTGGATTGTAAGATCTACAACGTTTTACAATTTTCCATTTAATTGTCAGTTGTTGTTGTTTTTTTCTTGATTTTGTATTACATGGCTGAAGATTGCCTTTAGGCATGAAACTATTAGTACCATAAAAATTTGTATTTTCTTTGTTTTATAAATTTATATATATCATGCTCTATTAAATAAATAAATAGATCCTATTTGTTTATTATTGACCACTCTTATGCATACAAGAGTTTTTGTATTTTATTTACAAATACAAAATATCATTTATTATATATATATATATATATATATATATATATATATATATATATATATATATATATATATATATATATATATATATATATATATATATATATATATATATATATATATATATATATATATATATAAAACATTTGTCATATTCAATTAAAAAATAATAATAATAAGGAATAATAATTTTTATTATAGCGCAAGCAGGAATAATAGTAACGATTAAATTTCTTTTATCATAATAATATTGATAATAATTATTATTATAATAACAATACTAACAATGACAAAAACACTCGTATATAAAATTAATTATAACAATAATAACAAGAGTAAGAATAGTAATATTTAGTATCATATTAAAACTAATAATGACAATAATAGTGGTGAAGAAAAATATTTCATTTCTTTTCTCTTACACTGAAGTATTATAAAAAGTATTTAAGTGTAAAAAAGCTTAAAATAATAAATATTTAAATAATATTTGTTATTTTAAGTAATAAATATTATAAATAATACTAATATATTATAAATAATACTAATTTAAATATTTAATAAATATTTAAATTAGTATTATAACTGAACAGAAAACAGAAAAATGTTAGGTATATAGATATGCAGAGTTGGGGTTATTATTAATAAGTTGTAGAAAAGTATAAGATTTATAAACAATATTTTCCTAAAAAATGGTTAAAGAGAGCAGTTTTAAATTTTGAGAATGATTTAAGAGATTTTAATTGGAAGGGAAATTTTTCCATGTTTGTATGCTTTTAAGTTGTATGGATTCATAGCCATAATGAACAGTTCAATATTTAGGTAAGTTAATAAATGTAAAAGGTAGGTTATTATGATTTTGTTCCAAACAAATAAGCAATTTGGTAGTTAAATAAGGTCACACAATTTTAAGATTTTTTATAAAAACTGTTTAGACTACAATTCGAATTGGTATGTTGGAAATAAATTAATTTTAGAACTTTATTTTTGAGATGAGTCTTGCAATTTGCTTAGATTGTCCCTATACTTGACAAGCATATCTGAGAGTGAAAAATAACATTATATATATTAAGCAAGGTTTTATGGTTATCATTGATAAAATTAAGATAAATGTAATGGTCCTAAAACCAAGCCTTGTGGAACAATTAAAAGATTTAGCTAGTTTTGAGTTGATACCAATAATTAAAATAAATTGTATTTTATTGTAAAGAGAAAAACCAAAGGAAAGAAATACCTCTAGTATTGAAGTGTTAAAGTTTGTCTAGGAGGATTTTGTGGTCAACTATCAAATGCTTTTTTTATGTCAATAAACACACGCAAAGTGTTTATTGTTGACAGCTGATTTTTCTGTTGTTTCTATTAATAAATAAGTTGTTGAATGTTTGATGCAAAACCAAACTTGGTGTTTGTAAATATTTCTTGATTCATTGCTTTTTCAAATTGTTTACTTTGGAAAGTTGGTTGTCGTACTTTAGTTGTTGGAAAGAAAAGAAATGGTTCTACAATTAAAGTAGTCTAAAAGAGAACCCATTTTGTGTATAGGAATTACTTTGGCTAACTTTAATGCTTCTGGAAAAATACCATTTTTAAAAGAGATATTTATCATAGTACATAGAGGCTTGGAGATTATGTGAGATACCAGCTTTAACACAGGATCAATGAAAAAAAGATTTAGATACTTTAAAAATGTTGCTTAAACACATTTAGGAGAAAAAATTTAAGTAGTCTGGAATAATTTTCAAATAAAATATTAAATATATAAGCAACACTAAGATGACATTTTTATTGAGACTTTGTATTAATAGAAGGATTGATGTTTATGATTTCCTTAAATCCTTTCCAAGTATTCTTTACATTTTTGAGGTGAGGTATAGTATGATTTTTTAGAATATTTTAACAAGTTGCCATTTTCTGTATTACTTAAATTTAGTAAATAATAGATTTTTGGTATTCACATTTTTTGATCTAAAAAGTATGTTTTTAATAGAAATAGATTTAAGAATACCAGACAAGTTGTCCAGGATTTTGATTGTAGTTTGATTTTTTTTTTTTTTTATAAATTCTTTGTAGTGAGAATGTTGGTATTATACTTTTTTAAATGTTTTACAGAAAAAGTTTATAGATTTATTTATGTTATCATCTTCTTTTATGTGAAGTTTCTAGTTAACATCAGAATTTTCTTGGATAAAAGAAATGAAATCAAATTTTTAGCTTTTTTTTTAAATGTTTTTACTTAAAATATCTATTCCAATTTTATAGGGAGAAATGAAAGTTTAAATTAAAAAGAATTTGTAATTATAGAAATTTATGGTGACATTTTATGGTGGCTTAGCATTCAATCAAATTATGGAGGTTTTCAAATTAAAGAGATTTGACTTAGAGTGATTGTACTGTATTCTAAATTTTATGTGAAATTTATAAATTTTTATGTAAAATTTATTTTGCTATTTTTAAGTAAAAAAAGATTTTATGAAAATTACTATAAGAGAATGATAATCAAAAAAAAAATATTTCATTTTTAAATGAAAATTCTTTTTCGAGTTAATCTAACTTTAAGTTTAACTTTTAGTTGTTCAAATTGCTTTTGGAAATAATCTGCATAATTATGCATTATACTAATGTTTTAGTCATGCAGGGGATTTTTTTTTGAGTAAAATTTATATGGCTTTTAATTTGTTTGAAAATTTTTTACAATTCAGTCAAAAAAAGGTATTTTAAATTTTAATCAGTTAATCTTAAAATTGTTTATTTAAAAATATTAAATCTTTTTTAGAGATCTAAAACACAAATGCTGAGATAAAAAAACCACATTACACAATCTGATCTAACTTACTTGAGAATTAAATCAATATACCTTTTAATGCTAGCTGCATTAGTTTTTTCTAAAGAAGAAAACCTGATTTGGTCTATGTTCTCAAGCATATAAAAGACAAATAATTAAATATAATCAACTTGCTGACAGTAATCATAACCTGTAACAGTGCCAAAAACATTTATCTTGGCTAATATTGGAACATTGATATGACTACTGTGATGTAAATAGCGCCTAACTTATACCCTTAGGTTATCATACATAACCTAGGGGTATGCATATCGTAATTTTCTCACAAAAATTGACCTACTGTCACTTCCCTTGGTTTGAAAAGATGTTCAAAATTCAAAAAAAATGTCACGTCTTTAATAAAACATTTTGTAAGTTAAGTTTTTCCAGAATGAGTTTTAGCATATAGTTTATCCGGGGTATATTCTGTGTTTCCCATTTATCTGACATCTCTAAACATCACTGTTTTAACTTTCTTGAATTTATGTTACACTCTTAAAGATCAATTTTTTTTTTTTTTAATATCTTAACTTCCAACAAGGCTGCAAGCAACCACTATTAGAGTTGAAAGTTAATTCTAGAGAAAAGATGAGGTTTAAAAAGCAATATAACAGACATTAACAGACAACTTAAAAGATTGCTTATATGAATCAGGAAAACAAGATGAAGGGAGCGAATTTCAAAAAACTGATGTTCGAGAAAAAAAAACTAGACAAATAAGAATTTTTGGAGCACTTAAGAACAGTCACAATAGAAGGATGAGATTTAATTGAATGATGAGTAACTTAAATATGAAATTTAGTAAATGGCACAAGAGACGCTAGCTCTTTTAGTGCAGTGCCCATTATGGTATTTATACAAAAGAGAAAAAAAAGCAACATTGCGACAATGTGGTAATGGTTGGAGGTTACAAGAGCAGTTCCAGCTATGTTTACAATGCGCTTTCGCACATTGTTTAAAAGACAAAGGACATCATTGGAAGATCCTCTCCAGATATGGCAACAGTATTCCATACAAGGACAGATTAGAGATTTATAGAAATAAAGAATAGAATCCTGAGTAAGAAAGTGCTAATTTTGCGATGGATTTGATGTATGGTTTCCAAGACAAAGAGGTAAATGACTCATCAAATGCATTACCACTCATTATTATAGGAAGATCTAGATTGTTGCAATAATGATTAGCCAAAAAAAATTAAGTTTTATCTGAGCTATAGTTTACCAGTCGATAAGAACCCCATGCTGTAGCAGAAGTGAGATCCTTTTCAAACTCAAATGCCCCCTCCAAGCAATCAGAGAGTGTTGGCTTCTTATCCTGATAAGAATAAATGTTAGTATGATCAGTGAACAATGCAAAAGAAAGGGTTAAAATTAAGGCTCCAAATGTGGCCTTGATAATGCACACTAAAAGTACAAGTGGGAACACTATCCACGCGCAATACGGCATTGTTAATACTCTGATATTTTACAGCTGTTGATGGAATCAGCCTTTCTGAAAGCTACAACAGAGTTATGTTTTAGAGCTGTACCCTCATTAAAAGATAATAGAATGAGCCTAGTTATAAAAATAGACACAAAAGCAAAACCCATGTTTGAGTCAAGAAGATCCAGCATTCAACATCCTAAACTGTAAACAATATATTGTAAATACATATATGTCAACCTAATAGACAAAGAAGGAGTGCAGGACTGGTCAACAGATAGAATCTGTTTACCCCTTAAGTCTTTGCCTCGGAGGCCTTCTACAAGACAGTAGTCGGATTCATTTAATGTTTGCCTAAGATGAGTATTTTTATAGACACCATCTCTAGCCTTTACTCAGCCAAGAACCTAAAGGTAAGGGGTGTTTTATATTGGAGTTGGCTTCTAGCCTTTGCATTAAAAAGGCGTATGCTACAAGGCAGCAGGAAATAAAGCAGATTGTACTGAGTTACATGTTACCAGTAGCAGAATAACCTGACATGACATTTACAATAACTTTTAAGTTTATTTTATTGGTGCTCCTTGAAACAAAACTTTAACTGTATTAAATTGGTTTTAAGAAAGTTACATTAAGGTAATCAAATAGCATGCTAGATTACATAATATCTATCTTAACCAATCAAAAATGTATAGGATGTACTTGACCAATTAAAAAAGTATAGAATGTGCTTAACCAATCAAAATCTATAGTATGTCTTGACAGAAAACTAATCTCTTGTAACTTTTAATGAATATTTTTGACATGCTTTAAAAATGTCTTTTCATAGCTTAATTGATTATTCTCAAACCTTTATAATTTGATAAGTGTTAGGCAAAGTTTTGTACATAATACAATTATCTCAAAATGTTCCGTTTTAGATGTATAAGCATTTTTAAGTAAAATTGTGGTCCTTCCAAAACATTTGCAACTTTCTTATAGCTACTTTAAAAAAAAAATTAGTTTTTAATTATATCTATATTTTTGTTTTTCTAAATAAATTAAATACATACATGTAAAAAAAAAAGAGTCATATAAATTTTTTATAAGTTCTAATTACGTCACTTTTGAGAACTTTTTTACCACTATGCAACGTTCCATTGTTGCTTATATATTGTTTCGTATGTTTAGTGTGCTTATATATTGTTTAGTGTGTTTAGTGTGCTTATATATTGTTTCGTGTGTTTAGTGTGCTTATATATTGTTTAGTGTGTTTAGTGTGCTTATATATTGTTTAGTGTGTTTAGTGTGCTTATATATTGTTTCGTGTGTTTAGTGTGCTTATATATTGTTTAGTGTGTTTAGTGTGCTTATATATTGTTTCGTGTGTTTAGTGTGCTTATATATTGTTTAGTGTGCTTATATATTGTTTTTGTGTGTTTTGTACCACTCTTAAGGTTTTTCTATAAAATTTACTTACAATTGAAAAATAATAGAATTTGTTTTTATTGAGCACTTTAACTGTGCTCAATAAAATTTAAAATTAAGCACTTTAACTGTGCTCAATATTTGTATTCCTAATGTTGTATTATCACGCATCCATCCTAAATTAACGTATTTGAACCAATAACACTTATAATTATTTTTTGTTATACTAATCATTAAAGATCATAACAATTGATGATTGCTTTAGATTGATAATTATTTTAGTAGTTGTTATTTTTTTTTTAATTATAGAAAGCGTAGAGTTTTGACTTATTATGTTGATGAAGAAATATAGTTATCAGAGAAACTTGAGGTATTATTCACTTTATGCATATTTAAATTTTCCCTTTTCTTTGCTTTTCTTTTTTCTTTTTTATTATTATTATTGTTATTATTATTAGCACTGTTGTTATTTTTATTTAGATAAATGAAAAAAGAAAAGATTTTCCATTAGAATTAAATACGATTTGTTGTAACAGCAAAATTTTGAAAAACTGACGTCTGAAGATTTGCATGTTTTAATGCTTCAAGTGACTTTTTAGAAAAAATGCTTCAGTAGATTTTTTAGTTGACTTAGTCGACGTCTGTGTGCCAGCTGCATTCCAATTGGCATTTTCAATTTCATATCTTTTGACCCAATTGACCAAATCATAAACTTCATACGTTAGAGATTTGTAACACCTCGACACAGGGCTGTACTGGGGGTGGTCAAGCGGCCCGGGACTGTAAACCAAGCGGTCCGGCCCACATACAGCAATACTAAGTCATGAAGGGGCGGGGGAGGATAGGGGGGGTTCAGCTGGGAATTTCCGACTTGCATAGCAGCAGCAAAAAAATTCGTATCATGTTCAGGAGTTAGATAAAATTACGGCGACATTTTTAAGGCCTACAAATTGTAGGCTGCTTCACATTTTTATTCTTGCATAATATATATTTATATATATCTATATAGGTATATAGCTACCATTTACCATACAGGTATAATATAGAAGTTTCAATATGTTTTAATAGGTAGTCAAAAATATCGCTCGAAAAGTCACAACTATACTATAATGTGCAAGCTCTCTGCTCTACTACAAAACAATTATTTGACTAAGTTGCACAAAAGCATCTGATAATCGACTTTGATGCTTTAACAGTAATATTTATAGCACGTACCTTATACATGGTATAGTTAGTGCAAAACTGCATTCGACCAATAGAATCTGTATTGCAATCATAAAAGGTATACATGCTGTCTCCAGAATTCTGTGGTTATTACAAAAAAAATAACCCATCAATTATGATTTGGTAACGTCCGTAATAACATAATGTTTCTGACGCCATATTATCGAGACTTACCGAATGTGGATGGTAGTGGATCAAAGGACCAGATGTGTTTTTAGCCCAGGTGCGATTTCTGCAACCGAGTCGATGATGTCTTCGTTGGACAGCCCAACCATAACATCTACTTCGACAGACATCAGCATGAAAGCTTCTAAATGCGTGGACGACATTGAATTTCGCAGTCTATTTTTAATGTATTTTCATTTGGAAAAGGACCGTTCACACGCAACTTGAGTAGACGATAAAGTCAGCAAGAGCTTATAAGCATTGTACAAATGGGTGTTGGCTTTGCTGTAGAAATTGTATTTGTGTAAAACCGTGAAGCAACAGACGGGGCAATTTTTGCAACTCATGCATTTACCATGAGCTTCTTTGTCTTCAGAGAACGAAGAAGAAACTGCAGTTTCCTCGTCGTTCTCCAATTCATCGTTGTCGTTTCGGTTTTCCGCTAAGTTCATGCCCAAATACTCTTCAGGAACGGTCTTCTTAAATTTGCTCCACTTGAGCGAAAAGTCGATGAGTTCGGATTGTAAATTTGAAGCAGCTGTTGCATCTTTATTAAATTTTGTTAGAATGCTGCTGAAACGTACTAAGGCAGTAGGTTGGATACCGTTTTTCTTGATATCGTAGAAATTTTCCGGATTCAAGCACGCCATGTCAGCGAACAACGTGTCTTGAGCTTTAAAGCGTTTTTCCAAAGTTTTCACTACTTTGTCCATAACGCAGTTGTGTACCGTTATCCTGTAGCAATCAATTGCGCGATCTCCGACAGCCTCGTGAGTGCGTCGCTCACCACTCATTGCTTTTGGGACGCGAACTCGTTTCTCTGGCAATGCAGCTTCAACCGTCACATCAATTTTCAGATCTTCCAATGAGTTGTTGGCCCACTCGACAAATTTTTTAGCGCTCGCATTAATGCCATCAAAGTCTCTGGACACGTCTCGCAGTGCCTTGATAGTGCAGTCAACGTTTCGGTAGGCTTGCAGCACGTCCATCCCACTTGTCTGCAGGTACTTGGAAAGTGATGCTGTGTGTTAGAATATACGCAAAAAAACTTGAACGGTAAGAATTGTTTCAAATGAGATGCACTTATCTAATAAGGTTTGGGCGGTGTCGCGAACAGTTGGGTTAAAGTCTTCAGAGGAGGCTAACTCTTGTAAAGTTTCAATTAGCTCAATATACAAGGACGTCGATGGGTTGTTGAAGCTTCCAAATATTTTTTTTAATGCATGGTCCTTTGCCCACCAGCGTTTCTCGCCAATTACATTTAGTCTTCTATTGTTTGATTGTTTTGACGCCCATATGTCCATTCGTATATATGATTCGCGCAAGAAAACAGCACATTTGTTTATAAGCTGAAATATACTGATAGCAGCTTTGGTGGTTTGTGTGGTATCAACAAGAACAAGATTCAATACATGAGCGTAACACCACACATGCACTTGGTTTGGGGATGCCTCACTGAGCCATTTTGTGAAACCGGAATATTGGCCCTGCATGTTTGCCGCCCCGTCTGTAGAGTTTCCCACACAGTTTTCAATGTTTATGCCCATTTTGACAATTTCATCCCGGAACAGCTCGAACATACCCTTGCCTGTCGAATTAGTACAATTGCTGACGGATACCAGTCGCTCGTAAATATGGTCTTTAACATATCGGATTACAATCGAGCATTGATCCTTTACGCTAACATCTTGCGTTGTGTCCAGTTGCACGGAGAACATTCCTGCCGATTGAATCTCATCTGCAATCGATACCTTAATCATACGGCGAACAGATTCAATTACATAATTGACAGTAGTGCTTGAAATAAATGTTACTAACCTTCCTCGTCCCTTCGTTCCTGATGCTGCGCACGTGACACGTCGTTGATTACTTTTCTCCGTCACGATGTCAAGATGATTTTTCATAAGCGGGTCAAATTTAGACAGAAGGATTAAAATTTCTAAAAAGTTCCCGTGGTCAATATTGACATTGTCCAGACAGTAGGCTGCGTCATTGATAGATCTGTAACTAAGTCCTCGCTTTCAAATAAGTTTAACAATTTCTATCACACGTTCTAGAACTTGCCGTTTTTCTTTAACTTGAGCAGCTCTCACATTTTTTTGATTTGAAAAAAGCAAGCTATATACGTCCTTGTCATTGCTCGACATAATGTGTGCCTCTACACTCCTGCAATGGTGTTTACTCGATTCGTGTTCTTCGATTCGTTGGTGAACATGCTTCCAATCATTCATGCCATCAGTAAATGCATTGGATTCACTAGCTTTGCTGTAGGCCAGACACACTGTGCAAAACATGGCCTTCGAACTGTGACAGTAAGAAAGCCAAACCCTATTGATATCGTCTTGGCTTCTATAAAACACTCGACGAACATTTGAAAATGGTAAATTTTCCCCATCCTCTTTTGGTTGAACCGGATGACTCTTGAAAAATGATTCAAGGCACTGCGATTGTGGACGCATGAAAATTTCCGAACACTGATTCTGAGGCCGGGAGTCAGAGGATACAGATTTCTGGGATGGAGTTAGCACAGTGCAGCTCACGGAGGCTGAGACGGCAGGACCGGCTTGTTCGCCGTCAGAAATTTGAGAACCTAAATCATCAACCAGAGTATCACCACCAAACTGGGTGGGGGTACTTAGTCTAAAAAGTTCGGTTATCTTTTTACACTTTTCTCCCCCTTGAAGAAGAAGCTTTTGTTTCTTTTCACGTTGCTTTTCTGCCCCGCCTTTACTTTTCCGCTTCAAATCTTCACTCATCTTATCAAATATATACGTAAGAAGAAGACTATAATATTAGAGGCCACATTTTAACTTTATAACTATTTTGCGGACAAACATGGAACCATACATAAAATGAAATGTTCTCAAAACGACTAAAAAATCTGGCCAGTTTTTCGCAACTAAATATTATTTCCGTGGTAAACGATCGCTCCGATCGCTCCCGCTTCCCGAATACGCAATCATCAACTTTTCACTTTATGCTACACGTAGTTTCACACACTGTTTTCAAATGCCGTTTTCACCGTTACACGACCTGTCACTTCAAAAGATTCACTTCACAAAATGCAATCATTAAAAATACGAAATATTTCACTGCGGATGGTATCGCATAATTATCGCTAGCCATAAATCGCGTTTGAAGTCAAAAGCAAATCAAAACAACCTGCTAAAAACCAGGCGGCCCACCGGGAATCGTCCCGATGTCCCGGCGGCCCAGTCCAGCCCTGCCTCGACAAAAAAATAAATTTAATCTAAAATAGTTTCATTATGTTAGTTTCGTTAGCAAATAAATTTTAAATTGAGTTAGTTTATTTTGAGTACAGCAATACCTTATTTAAATGTCAATTTTTGGAATTTTTGTTTATAACAGGCATTCATGGACTTTGATGGGTGCGTTCAATTTTTACTCCTCCTTTGTTATATGTCGAGGCAAACCTAACTGCCTCGTGCAGTTATTAACTTAAGTGTTTTCTACAAAACTATTGTATAAAATGGTCCAAATGAGCATGAGAGGGGAAGATGCTTACTATGGTTATAATCTTTGCTGTTTTTTAAGTTAGTGTAATGCTGTCTACGCGCTGTAGGTATTTTGTTTTTTGTTGTCATTGTTTTTTTGTTTTAAAACTTTTAAATCTTGTGTTATTTATTAATATAAAACACAGGCTGCTATTATATAAAAGGTAAATATTTTTCAAAAATTCTATTTTCTGAACCACTCTAATACATGCTATTGCTTTTCATATACATGTGATACATTACTATTCGCCTATTATTTATAATACTTTATTCGCTTACCATAACTTTTAACAAAAAGTACTAATCGATAAAATCTAACAAAGAGTACTAATCGATAAATAAAAGCGAATAATTCAAATTTGTTTAACGATTAATAAAATTACTATTTGAAAAAAAAAAAAGTAATAACTTTTTTTTTTTTAAATAGTGAATAATTTTTAACTGCTATAATTTTTTTTTTTTTTTT